GCAGTTTTTAGTATTAGAGGGAAGGACCTCTCTTTGCCAGAGGACCTGAAGAGCCACTACCAATCAAAGGAGACAGTGCTGAGTTAGAAAGACCGATGCCTTGACTCTATATATAGGGCAGCTTGCTAAGTTCACCATGCAACAGGAAAAGCTGTGGCTCAGTGGCAGAGAACCTGCTTTGCATGCAGAAAGTCACAAGTTCAATCCCTGGCATCTCCAGGGAAAGAAACTCAAGTAACAGGTTAAAGGAAAGGAGTTTTGCCTTGTGCTGTTTCGGTCTTTTAAGACCCTCCATCCAATTCACAGCTTTGATTTCCCCCCCTCCCTCTTTCTCCTTTGCAGGCCCTCCTGTGGAGTATGCACTCCTACAGCCTCCTGAGGAAGCTGGAAGGGCACCAGGGCTGCGTCGTATCGTGCGACTTCTCTCCTGACTCGGCGCTCCTTGCAACCGCCTCCTACGATGCCTCTGTGATCCTATGGGACCCCTGCACAGGGGAGCAAATGAGATCCCTCTGGTAAGGGAGGCGGCAGTCCTCTAGGCCTTGGGGGGGCGGGGTTACAAGGCCGCCCTTCTCTTGAGGCAGAGTCCCTCCTGGTTACATTTGGGGTGCCTTTCCAGTTTTTACCAAAGAGCTGGGATTGGATCTCACAACTTGAACTTTCAATCAGCTGCAGGTTGGCTCCAGTTTTTGATTGGAGCCACCTTTCCCAGCCTCAGCTCTGCTATTTAAACCCATAGCACAGGCATAATAGTAAATCGAAACTGGAGCATCGCTCTACTTACTCTCCCCCCCCCCCCCCCCCCAGCCCGCAGAGCTTATGGAAAGAGGGGGAGGGAGATCTGATTAGGACTGTCCCACGTCACACAGCTTGGAACTCTTTGTGCCTTGCTTGAAGAAGAAAGCTTCATTTTGTGGCCGGAAATGTCCCTTTGATGTCTGTCCCCAAAAGGCTGTGTGCTACTTTAAAAGGCCTTAGCTGAGCCCCAGAGGCTTGCTAAGTAAAGTTGCGGCTCTCTCAAAGATTTCAATCAAGCCGCTGTCTTCATGGGACCAGGATCCCTGACATTCAGCTCAGATTCTTCTTTCTTAGTTCCAAAAGTGTGTCCCTGCTGGCCAGTCAGTTGAGAAGTCTAAGGTGCGTCAGTAGCTTTGTGTGTCACTCCTAATCCAGCTGTAGTTTGCTGATCTGTCACTAGGTGGGGCCTTCAATTCTCCATCTCCAAAAAGATGTCTTCTGAATTATATGCTACACTTCTGTGGGGTAAATACCCCTCTCCAGGGCCATTTAAGCTTCTTCTGTCCCTGCGTGGAGGTCTATATCCACTCTGGCGCTTGGGAAAGTAAGTTTCCGACAGCTGGCATATGGCTGTGGGGAAAGTGAGTTGGGTTGAGAGAACCCCCAACCTGACTCATGGAGAAATGTGCTGTGTGGTTCAGGCCTTAGGAGAAAAGCGGCAACCAGAACGATCGCAGGGGCTTACTTACAATGCCATGTTTTAAGTCTTTTTCTTAAAAAGCAGTGCTTTTAAGGGGAGAGTCTGGGAAGAGGTTTATGAAATCACAACTGGTGTGAATAGAGTGGATGGAGAAATCCTTCTTTCAACACAAAAACCAAAAAAACAGACTGGTTGGCTGCATATTCAGGGTGTGGGTGTGTGTAAGGTACTATTAAGTCGCAGTTGACGTACGGTGACCCCGTAGGGTTTTCACTCTCAACACAAAAACCAAAACAGACAGACTGGTGGGCTGCATATTCAGGGTGTGTGTGTGTGTGTGTGTAAGGTACTGTTAAGTCGCAGTTGACTTACGGTGAACCCGTAGGGTTTTCAAGGAAAGGCGAAAAAGGAAAGGACTTCATCACACAAGGCATAATTGAAGGTGTGGGATTTGCTGTGGTCGCTCCTGGCGTTTAAAGAGAATGAGACAAGAAGGTTATGGAGGAGAGGTCCATGACTGACTGTTAGCCACAACTGCTAAATGGAACCTCTATGCTCAGAGGTGGTATCTGAATTCAGTTGCCCTCAAACACATGAAGCTGCCTTAGACTGGGCCACACCACTGTCCCATCCAAGTCAATATTGCGTAATCTGAGTAGCAGCTGTTCCTCAGTGTCTCAGGTAGTGATCTTTCACATCCCCTCCTACCTAATTTTACTGGCGTTGTCAGGGATTGAACCTGGGACCTCCTGCATGTGAGGCAGCCAAGCCAAGCCTCTGCCCTACCCTGAGCAGGAGATGAATGTTACTTTCCAGGCCCTGCCTTTGGCCTTTCCCAGAAACATCAGGATGCTGGACTAGGTGGACCTTTGATCCGGAGGGATTCTCCCTGCAGATCTGAATAGATGCGACTTTTCTCCTTATTTCTCCACAGCCACATTCCATTGCAGTCGTCGCTGGACCACAACAGTGACTACCACGCCAGCTCCTTGCGGTCTGTATGCTTCTCCCCTGAAGGACTTTACCTTTCAACCGTGGCAGATGACAGGTGAGAGCTTCAAATGACAAAGTGCTCACACCATACAGATCACAAAGCGTTTTCCAATCTCAGGGGAAGATGCTTGGCAACTTAGTTGGTCTTCTCCCGAGATGCCATTGCTCCTGCTAAGATCCGTCAATGAAAGTCCTTTGCCTGAAAGCGGCACTGTTCAGTGCTTTATGTTTGGGTCCTGGGGTGAGGCTGAGAAGAGGTGACTTTCTTAATACTTGGATCTGTATGTGCAGAAGAACGAGACAGTAGAATGGGAGTGACCCACTGCAGTTGGCAATTTTCAGCTTTTTTTTTCCCATCCCCCTAGGGGGAGGTTTTTATTGTTTTTTTTTTTCAGACTACAAAACTACAACAGAAAATATAGGAAAGGGAACTACGTCTAGGGAATAAAGAAAAAAGACCCATAACTAACTAAAAACCCAAGAGTAGGAGATCATACATCAGCTTAACGCCATGCTATTTTCAAAAAGCTACTAATAATACAATGAATTTAGTCGGTTATGCTAGATTAATTATCGTTTAACCATCCCTTTTAACTGTTTAAAGAAATTCCCAGAGCATCCCCAAGTTATTTCAACATTTTTTCAGGCACAAATCAGAGTCCTTCAGCCCTTATTTATTCTTATATTTTCTAATCCTCAGTTTATAAGGGCTTTTGGGGGCAGCCGCCCCCTTTTCCGAAGGGGAGTCCTCGTCCGAAGACCCCAAGCCCAACTCGTCATCCGATTTGCTTTCTTTTTCCTCCTCTTTGCCCTCTTCTGGTTCCCCAAGCTGTGTCCGCAGAAATTCA